GGATATCGTTTTCATGTACTCAACAGATTCCGTAAGACAATTACGCGAAAACACAGAGTAGACCTAATAACATGTATGATAACGTTTTTGGCGTTATATGTACAAGCGATTAAACATATTAAAGGCTCACTTCGAGAGAGAGAGAGAGAGAGAGAGAGAACCTGTTCTTTTGTAGCGTCCATATGGTATCCTGGAATATAAAATAATGTATATTAATTTAAGACTTCGACCATGCATGTTGTTATGTTTCATTTACCAATATGTACAGGTAAATGACTTGGCTGCTGAGATTAAATTCTCAAATTTACCGTAAAAGCTTCAATTATAACCTGTATTATGTACGAGAAAGTGTACCTAAACTGAGGGTTCGTGTAACAAAAAGTCCGCCCTCGATCCATTTAGTTATCATGGTCAGGGTTAGCCTGAACTAAGTGGGTCAAAATCTAGGGCAAGGCTCACCTTTACAAATGAAAGGGAAGTGGACTTTCTGTCATGGGGGAATCTCTGTCACGATACATCGGATATCAGAGGGCCTTCAGTCTGTTTTAGTGAAAATCTGTCAAATGATTACACGTTCAGCTTTGTACGACGATTAAGTGAAGAATTTTTAGCAACAAATAATGTATAAACCATTTTTAGGAGCGCCAATGACATCTGGTGTGCAGTAAACATATAAAGGTCATTTGTTCCCAGGAGTATTTATTCTAATTGCCTTCAACCTTTAAAATATCATACCTTGAGGGGCATTGGTAGGTTGAAGGAAACACCCCATATGTATTAGAGGGATATCCGCTGTGTCTCTTTGAAATCCGTGAATTACTGGTTATCCAGGCATCCCTGACATTATATCTTTTGAGAACACTTTTCAAGGCGCTTTGCTCTTGGTACATGTTAGGTCCAATATAGGCAAGATTTCCACCTGGTTTGTTCCTGCAGTACCATTGTGCCCAAATCCAAGAACTTGCAACATGGCATATTTGGTATTTTTTATATGGGCTAAACCTCAACTCGGAGCAACCTTAACAGTTAAGGAGTGTAAGGATAAGGTATATTGTATGAAATAATAACGTCCCAAAAATGCCGATAAATTATAAGATAGCATTTTTGAGAACGTTATCGGAATTATTAACGCTTTAAAGGGATAATAACTCTTCGTATGAGAACTATATTTCACAATAAAAACAATGTGAATAACTCATAGAAATATAATACATTCTGTTTTACCACAAAACTGCAGTTATAGCTATTATTCTGATATCTGAGCTTGTCTTTAGACCACGTGACCTCCACTGTTGGCTATATTCTGTTAAAAAATCTTAAGAGATTTTAACAAAAAACCAAACTTTTTAGAAAAAAAACCGGGATTAACTTTAAATGTAAAAATGGATTCATTAACCATTGGTAAGTATGGGGAAATTGTTGTTTACTCCAGGAAAATTCATTTTTGGCCGAAACGAAGAGTTATTATCCCTTTAAGTTTAATAATCCTGACGTCATATTTGTGTTTATTACGCAAAATAATATTTCGTCAGTTTCATAACAACATTTATGGCACATGAGGTAATTTAACATAAGAAAATGCTGTTTAAAAACGCACCATCCTGCAGTTCAAAATAAAGAGTCCACCGTAAAGAGTTCATCGTAATGGAAACAACATTACGCGCTAATGCTTCAATACAGTAAGCAATCACAGCTAAAACTGCCTTTACAAGTGTAAACATTCAGTCCGTGTGCTTACCGTTTGACCCACCATAGTTACCCCCGGGGTATCCGCTGCCATATATGGGGTATGTGCCCTTGCCTGGTTTGATGAAGTGCCCTAGGAAACAGCATACTAGTAGGCAAACGTGCAGTAGTCCAAGCCCCATTTCGACGTGCAGGTTTGCGAGCGAGCCCGCGTCTAATATACGTTCTCGTATCTAAATGTGCAGACGTCATGACTCAGCGTATTTGTACTGCACCCACGACACTTTGAAACAAGATTGTGAGAAGGATCTTTCAACCTGCACGTCCTCCCTCCCTCCCTCTCTCTCTTTCTCTCTCTCTCTCTCTCTCTCTCTCTCTCTCTCTCTCTCCACCACCACCATACTCCCCTCACACTCTCTGAACGTGTTCTGAACTTGTATTGGTGCATGTATCTGCATGCGTCATTGCGTATTTGTAAACGTACGTCTGCGCTATTGTGACTGTGAGCAGTCCATCGCAATAAAAATCTGGAGAAAACAATATATTAGTCTTATTTACATGTAAACCAACGTGGGATATAGAAGGTATCACCTATTCTTATCGGGACGTGACTTATAACAAACAAGATAAGTACATGTACTTTGGTATAAGGTTCTAGTTCCCTGTACGACACATAACAAAGGTGCTATGTTTAAATACAGTCAATTAATACGTTGTATATGTTACTAGCTTTATTATGTTCTACTTGTACTATTTCAATACGACTGGAAAAAATTCAAATTCAGAACAGTTGTTTCACGCTTTTGTCATTCTTTTCTGAAACGTGAAAACAAACGCACGCGCATTCCACAACCACACTTACACCGCATGCACGCACGTGAGCACACATACAAAGACGCACATTCATTGAGGCAAGTTTCTGTCGCATATTTTACTGACATTTGTATTTGGTATATAGGAATATAATCCACTGCCAAACAAGGGGTATGTTCCCTCGCATAGTGCGATGCACTGCTCTAAGACGCAGTATGCTTGAAGGAAGCGTTCACCCAAGACCCAATTCGCCAAGCTGGCTAACGTGAGAACCTGTCTTAATTATCTACTCGTATCAAAAACTACACACGACGTGATTCAGCGTGTTTATACTGCAGGGATAGCATCTCAGAGCATGATTAAAAAAAAAAAAAAAAAACAGAACTGGCAGCGTGCCTGTATAGGCCCTATATATGCGTCTTTTTTAACGTCCTGATACATATACACGTACACGTGTGTGCGTCCTTTTGTACCTGTGAGCAGTCCATTGCAATCAAAATTTACACAAGAGAACAATAAGTCTTATTAACTTATAAACAAACGTATGATAGAGGAAATAACACATATTTTCAGGCCGCGACTTACAACAATCATGTTAACTACATGTACATGGGTACATGGTTCTATAATTAAATTCACCAAAACAGCTTTTAAATGTAATGTTGACTTTCTTTTTGTTATAATGATATTTTGAGTCACTTTGAAAAATGAAAATCGTATCTTGTATACTTTTAGAACGTATTTTTATCGACTTTTTTACTTGGGTTTGATACAATTTTCTTTCAGTACAGCAATAATTTAATGAGCGTAATGATTTCTTTATCTGTGTATATTCATATACTGATCCAAAGGCCGATTCTAGATAGTTCCCAAAGCCAAAAGATAAAAATAGATAAAAACACCCGAAACGTGAAGTAGTGCGTACGTTAACGATCGTCTCTATGATTTTACCAAACACATCCAATAATTCAATTGTAATGCAGTTCTTGAAAATGTATTTTGAAATGAATTTCAGAAAAAAATTAATGTGGAATATTTTTTTCTTGAAACAACCATTTTAGTATAATTATATGTTAAACTTATGGTTGCAATTAAAATATTATTAATTTATTATTGAAATAGATGATCAGTGATTATTATGTCTTTTAAAATATTTTTCAGTCAACTTGCGTTGTCATTTGTGCAACAACTGTCATGATGCACAAATGTCTTTTAAGATTGTTTACATAACAATAAAGCAGGTAAATTGGGTGCAGAAACTAAGAATACCCTGTCGAAAAACTTTCTTTTCAAAAATGTCTAAATTAAATTATAAACCTTCTTTTGGGTTTCATTGTCACAGGGGTAATTGCCACGTTGATACTCGGAATTGTAGTGGCAGGAATCGCACAATTTATACCACTAAAATCCGGTGTAACACAAATGGAATTCCGCTAGGAACTGTGGTCCACTTCCCATTACATTGTACAGTTGACATTCGTCCCAAATACTAATTAATACTCCAACGAACCCCAACCTGTACATATTATATGGGACCCGGACCTCCATTCCTAGGACTTCTATTTCTATCACACCGGCTGGCATAAACATGCATGCACTTATATATGTATCAGGACGTTTACAAATTCGCAAGCACGCATACGTATACAGGCACGCTAAGTGATGTTCTTTCAGTCGTGCTCTGAGATGCAATATCTGCAGTATAAACACGCTGAATCACGCCGTTTGTAGTTTTTGATACGAGTGGATACAATTTTTTGATACCAGTAGACAGGTTCCCACGTTAGCTAGCATGTCGGGTCTGGGGTGAAAGCTTGCCTCCAAGCATGCTGTTTCTGAGAGCAGAGCACCGCTCTAGGCATGGGAATATACCCCCTGTGTGCCAGTGTAAAATATTCCTATATAATAAGTACCAGTACAATTGTCAGTAAAAAGTAAACTCGTCTCGATGAATGTGCGTCTTTGTGTGTGCTCACGTGTGTGCGTGCGGTGTAAGTGTGGTTGTGAAATGCGCGTGCGTTTCTTTGTGTTTTCACGTTTTAGAAATAAAATGTCAAAAACGTGAAACATTTGCTCTAAATTTAAAATTTGGCAATCACACTGAAACAGTAAAAAATGTACATTATGATGCTATAATCATATACAATGTATTATTTGACTTTATTCAAACAAATCATCTTTGTTCTGTGCCGTACAGGGAAAGTAGGACCCTATACCAAAGTATATGCACTTATCTTGTTTGTTATAAGTCACGTCCTGATAAGGATAGGTGACACTTTCTCAACCCCACGTTGGTTTTTTTTTTTTTTTTTTTTTGTAAATAAGGCTAATTTTATTTTATTTTCTCCATATTTTTTATTGCGATGGACTGCTCAAAAGCACAATAGCGCAGACGTACGTTCACAAATCCGCAATGACGCATGCAGATACATGCACCAAGTTCAGAACACGTTCAGAGAGTGAGAGGGGAGTATTGTGGTGGGGGAGAGAGAGGGAGAACGTGTAGGTTGAAAGGTCTGTTCTCGCAACCTTGCTTTGAGGTGTCATGGCTGCAGTATAAACACGCTGAGTCACGACTTCTCCATATTTAGATACGAGTACGTATATTAGACGGGCTTACTCGACAACTTGCACGTCGAAATGGGTCTTGGAGTACTGCACGTTTGTCTACTAGTATGCTGTTTCCTAGGGCACTACATCGCACCAGGCAAAGGCACATACCCCATACCTGGCAGCGGATACCCCGGGGGTAACTATGGTGGGTCAAACGGTAACCACACGTACTTAATGTTTCCATACCCTCTACCAGGGCGATATATTGATTTTTCACAGATATTCACAGATATGTCTCTATACTAGATAAACAGACATGTCCACAATAATATCTGCGACCCTGGTAGAGGGTAATGTTTCCGCCTGCAAAGGCAGTGTAAGCTGTGATTGCTTATTATATTAAAAAATTAATACATATTGTTGTTCCTGGTACTATGCATGGACTAGTTACTTTAAATTGCAGAAGGATGTGTTTTTTTAAAAAATGTTCGTAAGATAAATTACCACACGTGCGACAAAGGTCGTCATAAAACTGCATAATGAAATAGGAGTATATTGTATATGACGACGGGATTATGAAACCAAAAGCGTTAATAACTCTTTCTGAATACCACTTTCTGTTAAATGTCATTTTGTTATATTTGACTGTCATGACTACCCCGGTAGAATACACATATAAATATTAAAGCGTTAATAATTCCGATACCGTTCTCAAAAATGCTATCTTATAATTTATCGGCATTTTGGGGACGTTATTATTTCATACAATACATCTTATCCTTAACTGTTAAGGTTGCTCCGAGTTGAGGTTCAGCCCATATAAAAAATACCAAATATGCCATGTTGCAAGTTCTTGGAGTGGGGCACAATGGTACTGCAGGAACAAACCAGGTGGAAATCTTGCCTATATTGGACCTAACATGTACCAAGAGCAGAGGGAATTGAACAGTGCACTGAAGAAATATAATGTCACGGATGCCTGGATAACCAGTAATTCACGGATCTCAAAGAGACACAGCGGATATCCCTCTAATACATATGGGGTGTTTCCTTCAACCTACCAATGCCCCTCAAGGTATGATATTTTAAGTTCAAGACATTGAGAGTATACCTCTGGGAACAAATGAGCTTGATATGTTTACTGCACACCAGATGCCGCTGGCACTCTTAAAGAATGGTGTGCCATTTGATACATATCAATTGTTACGAAATCTTAATGTTCACTTAATCGCTGTACAAAGCTAAAACAGACTAAAGGCCCTCATGCTATGGTATCCAGTTGTAAGGAATTCTAAACTCTGGCGAAAACTGAGAATCCGCGTTAGGGTCAATTCGGGAACTTAGAGTAAACAGCCAAAACAGTTACAGATTTTAAAATAAAAAAGTATCTAAGTCTTACGTCAATATGCATTATTTCACATTCCAGGATACCATATGGACGCTACAGAAGAACAGGTTATCTCTCTCACTCTCTATCGAAATTGCATTTTAAAATGTTTAATCACTTGTACATGTAACGCCAAACGTACTGATACATGTTACTGAGACTGAACATGTTACATTTTGCTTAACTTTCTTACAAAATATGTAGAGTCAGTTTACATGAAATTAAGATTATTACACTATTACACTGCTGTTATGAATACATTTTATGATACACAATGATAATTACCAGTATAGGCGGTTGGTGCAGCAGTCTTGTCAGTGTTCTCGGCACAGGTGCCATATCGTCACTGCCATGTAATTGTGCACTACCCTACATTTGCGAGATAAAAACAGGTAGGTGTACATCACTTCTAAATTAATCAGTTTTACCACAGTGTGTGTGTGTGTGTGTGTGTGTGTGTGTGTGAGAGAGAGAGAGAGAGAGAGAGAGAGAGAGGAGAGAGTGTGTGAGAGAGAGAGAGAGGGGGGGGGGGAGTAAGAAAAAGAGAATGCGAGAGATACAGAGAGAAAGAGGGGGGGTGCGCACGTTTATACAGTATTTGAGCTTCTCCTTATTTGTCCATTTGTGTGGGAGTGAATGCATATGCGTGCGTGCACGTGTGTGTGTGCATATGAGGGATGTTCGACATTCAATATTCCTTTGCTTCCAGCACCTGATATGAACGTTATTTAAACGCACATGAGTAATGAGATAATTACGGTGGACATGCAGAGAGGTAATTGAATCACTACATGAAATAACACATCTAACACAAATAAAGAAATATGCCAAAGAGAGATAAAATGTTTATATTATCCAACAGGTTCAGGGCTCAAGAATCCGTGTCGGAACAATGGAACATACGACGGGTACCGCTGCCATTGTCCACCGGGATTTTCCGGCTCCTTCTGTGAAACCAGCACCAGTTATTGTGTCAGACCTGGTATATGCAGTGGACGAGGAAAGTGTTATGACACGTACAACTTTCATCGTTACATATGTAAATGTGACACTGGTTTTACGGGGAAAAATTGTGAAACAAACATAGACGATTGCCGGTCAGATAGATTAAAGTGCAATGGGCGGGGGAGGTGCATTGATGGGGTGAATAACTACACTTGCTCATGTGACAAAGGTTTTACTGGAAAGAACTGTGAGCGCAACATCAAGGATTGCGATTTACGCTCTTGCAGCGGACATGGATGGTGCCAAGATGGCATCAATAGTTATACGTGCCATTGTGACGCTGGTTTTACTGGCGTGGATTGTGAGGCTGAAATAAACGAATGCGCCAGCAACCCATGCCACCAACAGCAAGGGACGTGCGAAAGCTTGTTGGGCAGTTATAAATGCCATTGTCACCCAGGGTTCACTGGTGAAACTTGCGACGTCAATATAGACGAATGTGCATCTCAACCATGTAAAAATGGTGGTACCTGCACTGATGAAGTCGATGGGTTTTCCTGTCAGTGCTTACCTGGATTAACGGGGAAAACGTGCGAGAATAGCATCAATGAATGTGACTCTCAACCGTGCAAGAACAACGGGACGTGCAAAGATGGGATGAACTTTTACGTCTGCATTTGTCCCGCTGGGCTGACTGGCAAAACGTGCACCGTGAACGTAGATGAATGTAAATCTAACCCTTGTGTAAATGGTGCTGCGTGTGAAGATGCCTTAAATGGTTATGTTTGTCGATGCAGAAATGGGTTTACTGGAAAACACTGTGAAACTAACATTGACGAATGTGCATCTCAGCCGTGCAAGAATGACGCAACATGCATCGACAATATTAATAGATATTTTTGCTTATGTGCAGTCGGTGTTACAGGTTCCAGCTGCGAGACCAAAATTAACGAATGTGCATCTCAGCCCTGCAGACATGGCGCTACGTGTACAGATGCTATCGACGGATACATGTGTCAGTGCCCCTCTGGTTTTACCGGTTCTCGATGTCAAACCAGCATAGATGAATGTGCATCCAATCCTTGTTTGAACAACGGCTCATGTCAAGATGAAGTCAATGGATACATTTGCCAATGTCCAGATGGTTTTAGTGGAGTTAAATGTGAATTGCCACCAACCACAATTCCAAGTACTGTAACAAAATCCTCGAGCACCACCACCACTATGGCACCAAAAGGTAAATTAAGTGTAAAATTGTTAAGTTTGGTTTGTAACTATTCAAATGCAAAAGTATCGCTTTGTAAGTAATCAAATGCAAAAGTATCAAAACCATATATCCATGCAGCGTAATCACCGCTGGATATATAATTTTGGTAAAAGAGAAACGAAGGCCAATAGAGAAAGAATCTGTTTCAATTTCAAATAATTTCCAATAAGTCAAAACTTTTTGGGTTGCAACGAGTCCTGAATTAGTCTAATGATTTCCCACACATTTTCGTTCCAGACCCTTGTGATCCCAATCCTTGTCCTGAAACAGCACCCGGGCATCCGATACCATGCAAAAGCATAGGTGGCAGCACTAACTTTGAATGTGTGGGACTCAATGGTGAGTAGCATATACCTTCTACATCTTTAATGACATGTGGCAATTTCAACGGATCCACATTTATAACCACAGGCCTGAGTCGTCGTCCTTTCTGCGTCCTGTAGTATGGTTCCGTTTGAGGGTTAAAAAATATTACTTAACTTGTCGACAACTGGCCAATCATTGAACACTCATTCCGCGACCAAAGCTATGCTTGTGCATCCTTTCTACGACCACAGCGATGCCAGTTCCATGGTCGCAAAAAGGGTGCAGAAAGGGCACCGTCCAGTGTAAAGGTGGTTTTACCTGGTAAAGTACACTTGCACCTTGTGTTAATAGGGTTACTGGAAGCTCACCAGCGTTATCAGTGTGTCTCAGCCGAGTGGAGACGGCAAAGATGAGACTGAATCCTTGGAGGTTTATTCATTTATTTATTTAACTTTATTTATCAAGGGTAAAACATTACCTTCCCCATCTTATTTATGACGTTTGTAAAAGTATAAAAAATGACGTGTATTAAATAAGATTATCAAAAATCACAAAAAATATGTATACAAATTAAAACAATAAAAATAATAACAATTCCATAAGCCTGGTTATTAGTATTGAAATTAGGTTTGGGAGTAGTCCTTTTTATTAATTTTCACCAATGCAGCAGCGGCCTTAATTGATCGTATACTGCCACACGATAAAACTGGGAGGTTATGTTTACCCTTTTATCATCTGAGGGCGTTGACATTGCAGTGGGTGGATATAACACCTGGGCAGACATAACTACTAAAGTCTGAGGCATGGTTTTACTTGTTTGACTTTTCTACATTGTAAAATCCCTGACATACTCACAAGCAAACAAATCGTTGCCCTATTTTGTGAATAACTTCAAAAACCAATGTCACTGCTTTGCACATGTGGCAATTTCAGTACCTGATTATTTTTTTTCAAACAATACTGAAAGGAATAAAGGCGGATATTTACAAGGTATTGTTCATATTTTTATGTAAACATCACTAATACATTTTTACAACTTAGCATATAGGCAAGAAGCAAGCTAGTGGTTCACTGTTCACAATCGCAATCTAACAATCTAACAATTCGACAGGAAGCACAGTATTTGGGAATAAAATGTAGAAATATATACAACAGGTGCTATTTACAATTAGAAATCATAAAAAATGATATCATTGGATAAAGCCGAGCCAGCCGCCCCCCCCCCCCTCCCCCTTGGCCTGGGACTCGGGACCCGATGAAGGGCCCGAAAAAGTTTTGGTATTTTAGAGGGCGAACGGTGCAGTTTGGTACGGTTTAGTACTATAAATCAGCTAGTCAAAATTCTAATTTCAAGAGGGGAATATTAGTGTGATTTGTTTTTCAGAAACCGAAAGGGGGATCAGGACCCCCCTTACCCCCCTCTAAATCCACCACTGGTCTTAAATACCTCAGACTACATATACAGTATGTCTAGCTACATGTACTACACAACAGTGGTATCTCACGCGAATATTAGTGTGAGATGTGACTTCTAAAGACACTTAGAGAGTACATGTATATTTACCATAGGTATCGGGGCTGTGTTATCAAAACCAGCTCGTGTTTACAGGATTTAAAAAGACAGCTGAGAAAATGTTGCCGCAAAATAACAAGCGATATGCATTCAAAACACTGACAGCAATCTGTAATTACTAGTTTCTCGTACACTTCATCGGTTTTATAAGTTAAAATACACACACTTTTTAATAAAAGGCCGATTTGTAAGCGTGCCCTGACCAGGATCGACTGAACATTTTTTGTCTCTTTTACAGAAAGTACATCTACAGCAGCGCCATGTTCTGCAAATCCCTGCAAAAACGGCGGGCAATGCAAGGATACTGATTCTAGCGCTACCGATACATATAAAAGCAACCTCGGTGACTACCAATGTATATGCCCTCCATTTTATACCGGCAAGCATTGTGAAGCCCAAATCGATTTCTGTCAGTCCAACTCATGTCAGCATGGGTCCACATGCGCTCCGAAGCTTGGGGGCTACGTCTGCACCTGCCCGGCCACCCACAAGGGAACCCATTGTCAAACCCGTGTCGACCCTTGCACCAGCTCCCCCTGTCTTCATGGCGGACGCTGTACCACACAACTCGATGGGACCTTCCAGTGCACGTGCCCAAAGTTGTGGATTGGCACCCGCTGTGAGCAATGCCTGTGTCAGAACGAAGGTAGATGTGACTACAGTCCCACTGACGGCCACGTGTGTCGCTGCCAAGCTGGGTTCATCGGGATGAAGTGTGATACTAAAGTGAACGAATGCGACAGCTGGCCATGCCGCTATGGCATATGCACTGACTTGGTTAACGGTTATAAATGTGTCTGTGACCCTGGCTACACAGGTAAAGACTGTGAAGTCAAGACTGGCAGTTTGATTGGTTAATATATTGGCCGAGTACATTTCTGTACGGTACCGGTTTGAGAAAGTGTCAACTTTGTAGCCATGGCAGGCAGTAATGCCAGAGTCGCCTCAACGGACCCCCGCAAGTTTACTGAATTAATTCTGACATTCTGACTGGTACAATTGGGCTTGTGAAAGGGGTTAACTTAAACCCCTGGCAGCGTACTTACATTTTAAAAGCAGTAACTGGTGCGATACAGAAAAGTGTATCGCTCATCGTGAAAAAAATCATAGAGACTTGATTTTAGCTGAAAATAAGGCCTTCAATTGTAATTCCTAGAGTGGACTGAATTTTTAATGTAACATTTAACGTACAATGTCTACATGCTGTTGGCATTACCAAAAGGCATTCGCGGATCGACCTCATTGATTCAGAACAGACATTAAATTGTTTAACAGCTTAAATTATTTGCCACCATTGTTTGAAGTAATATTGGTCTCTGAACTCTCACTTTTGTGTGGATCACAATGCAGTAAGTTAAAGACGGTATTTGGTGAATTAATTTCAGATATTAAACATCGCTTGGGCTTATTATGGAGGAAACATTACATTAAAACTAATTTCATTTTATATGATTTTCCCGGTGCAGCAGGAAATACGTGGTTGTTAGACAGAAATTTATACCAATCAATCTGAAAAAAAAGCAGCAAAGCTGTAAAATACACAGACGGTAAAGCTTATAATGATGCACAAAATACTTTTTTCTCAATTTGATGCTATTTTATATGCTGCTTAATACAAAACCGACATAATTTTTTTTAATGAGATTAGGCTCAATCGAATTATATGGCAGCTATAGATGGATCTGTTTACTTGCTTAGAAATATGAGCCCATAAATATACAAAGTACATTTTATGTGGAAAAGTGGACCAAAAGTCAAATTCAAGGTCACATTAAGTTGTCCAATAAACTACTCCCTATTCAAGTTCAAAACGCATGAGTAGAGTTACTGGGTATGCATGTGAATGCAGTGTAGGTTATACAGGGACAGTTTCTCAAACTTTCATCAACATGTGCCTCCCTACTCCTTGCGAGAATGGCGGAATCTGTGTAAGTGAGCTGTGCGGATCTTTATACACCTACACGTGTGCGCGTCTGTCCTGTTGTACCTATGAGCAGTCCATCACAATCAAAATGTTCATGAGAAAACAATACATAAGTCTAATTGTGTTGGTTTTATTAACTTATGGACAAACGTAGGAAAAGAGGAGGTAGCACCTTTCCATTTCAAGCCGTGACTTATAACAGTCATGTTGAGTACAGGTACATGGGCATAAGGTTCTGTAGTTTCATGTACGACGCAAAACAACGAGGGCTTGTTTGAATACAGTTGTCTAAAATATATTCATATTTATATATATTTATATCATGATTTCCAAATTTGTAATTCAGACCAATTGTTTCACGTTTTTGTCATTTTTATCTGAAACATGAAAACACATACAAAGAAAAAAAAACGCACGCGCATTTCACATCGACACTTACACCGCAAGCACGAACTTGCGCAAACACACAAAGAGGCACAGTTATTGAGACAAGTTGCAGTCGTATATATTTTCCACTGGTGTTCGTTTATGGTAAAAAGTAATAATACGGGGGGGGGGGGTTATTACAGGTGACATCTTAAAACACGTTTAGTAAAACTCACACCCTTGGTAATGTTATCTCCAATCCCGATAGCCCGCTAAAATTAGATCAAGTACATATTTCAGGCCCGCAGACAGGGGTGGTTCGGAGGGTCGAAAGAACTCCCTTTTTGCTGGGAAAAAGGTCCCCTCTGGGTAAAATTTTACATAAGTACATGGAAGTTTCATTGTGAAAAGATCCACTTTTTCAGAAAAAGAATCCCCTCTTTGAAAATGCTGGCTTCCGGCCCTAATTTGTATATCTGAACATAAGAGTGACTTCCAAATGAGACTTAGCCCAGACTTGTAGGGCTGTTTCCAGAGGTCAACCGAGTATGGGGTTGAATTGGTTTGCATGAAATTTGGCGTTTTTACTTTCTTAGAACGGCCATGGACATACTCCTTGATCACCAAAACCACCACCGATAGCTTTGAAAGATCTTGTTTAAAAATTGCAACCACTCAAAAGCATTCTAAAAAGTAGCATTTAATACGAAGAGAAAAATTAAATTCGTAATAACAACTTTTCAAATGAAATGTAGACTTTTTTATTATAAAATGTTGTGCCACTTGGAAAAATGAAAATCGAACCCACCTTTTTTATTTTATTTTATTTATTTATTTTTATTTATTGCTTTTATATCTATAGAAATTAAAAGGAGATAATACTTATCATGCCTCGATTTACATTATTCATTTATTTTTGTTTCATCTTAAGACTGAATTTAATTCAAAATATTTTATTTTAACACATCAGAATTATATAAATATCATTATAAATCAAACTGCACTGATCATATCTTGGCCAAATAAAATAAAACGTGCACCCTATAACAAGGACATACTAGAATTAAAATAACTAAAGGTAAACGACTGGAGATAAAAAAAGGACCAAATAAATTAGCATCTATTAATGAATTAAACAAGGTACAAATACATTAATTTCAATTAGCCGTTAGATACAATGTAGGAACACTAATAATCAATGCTCAAAGAAAAAACATTACTATAATCACAAACGCAAACTGTATTGATGATGTGTCTGTTTACCGCAGTATCAAGAAGCCAACCGAGACAATCAGAATTGACCCAACTGCATGCAGACCGCGCTCGTAACCCTTAATATATATTTTAGTTGCTTTCAGCCCTTCTGCTTGATTAACACTTCATAAAAACATTGCCAACGACCGAAAAAAACACAAAAACATTCACAGGCCATTCATTATCACCCTAGTGAGAGCTTCAGCCTCAAATGAAGTTAGGATTACACGCTCAGATCTTGCTCCATGGGGAGGGTATGCCAGCCAGACAGATCTGGGAGTGATTTGGGACCTCTTTCGACCCAAAGGGTGCCTATATTTTTCAAAGTAAGTTTTCTTTCATTTCCTTCACTTTTATTTGTACTGAAATGCGTCATTCAATGATGTTGCTTATTCTGTGTGTAATATCACATAAAGTTCACGCGGTTGATATTATGGAGATTGTGAAATGTGTGTGAATGAGCCACATGTTTACACTAATTAAGTTACGATATTCATTGCAAGTAAAAATTGATCATCTATTTTGACAACTAGTCATCATGACTTATCGGCTCTATAACCTTTCTGTAAGTAGCCGAACGGTTTATAAACAACAGAGATTCTCTTAAGGGATTGAACTTTTACTATTCTCAGCCGATCAAACAATATCCGGATGTGTTACACCTTGCAAAAACACTGACGGTAAAAAATTCAAATACATTAGATTAAAAAAGTACCTGAAAGTCTTGTGGCTTCTTAACCCATAACATCTCTCTTAACTTGTCAGGCATGCCTAAGGGCCATCTTACCTGTTTACTAACACGCCCTGTTAAAGGTGCTTAGGTTATGTGTATCATAGCTTATCTCTGTCTGGGTTCTGTGTGATATCATAATGTTAACTTATTCAGGTGACAACGACGAGGGCAGAGTTGGTGTTGACATTTTAGAAGTGTGTGAGTCTATTACATTAGTTATCGTCATCGGCTCTGAGTTGATGGGAATCAAAAGCATGTTGGGCAAAGGGTGGGCATACTCGGTGGGCATTCTAATTTTATGTAGTTTCCGGTCTATATAAGTCCAGATAGCTATTTGAATGTATTATATTTTATGAAACGTATACTGGAAGTGACCGACCAACATTGACCACACTTATTATAATTTTAGCAAAATACTTTATCCATTAAAAAAAAAAAAAGGTAACAATGAAAGATGGCGAAGTTTGAGAATTTAAAATATCCGTCAGTATCGCAGATGGATTGGATTAAATTATAGAGGGCTTGTCCATATACCACAATTGTTTAGTCTTCGCGCCATCTCCCGCGGTATGTGTTTGCTTTGTAGGCAGAGTTCACATATTTCCAGATAAGAGAATTGAACGAAATTAAATATTAATTTTCTCACATTGGCGCATATAATTTCTTATTCCTTTAACAGTTTTGTAGTTTTAGCTTCACCAGGCAGCTCGTCCTATCGTTTTTTTTTCAAACGTTGGCAGGATAATTTTAGAGGGACAAGACATATGGAATAATTGGTTGTAGACTAAAGACGCTCATGAAATCCGCACGAAACACCCGTCGAATTCGATCGTATTTTATTCTTGCAATTAGAGCGGGATCGATTTTGGTTGTTGTCGCTTTAGCGATTTTTCTGATATTTCATCTACGTTTACTTTCTATCGGCCATTCACATTCAGACGCAGACAGCACGAGGAGGTTCCCATGCCAAGACAATGGGGCGTGCAGAGACACTGCAAAAGGATATTCAGGCACTTGCCCTCCGGGATTCACGGGAAAAGACTGCGAAACCAACATAAGCGACTGTCAATCCGCACCTTGTAAAAATGGCGCCAAGTGCACCGACAGCTTGAATGGTTTCTCGTGCGACTGTGTGTCTGGGTTCACAGGAGAAACGTGTGATGTGAAAATCAATGACTGTCTTTCCTCGTCTTGTAAAAGTGGTGGGACGTGTAAGGACGGTATAAATAATGGGTATACATGTATCTGTCCAGTAGCATTCACCGGGGCTAACTGTGAAACCAATATAGACGATTGTACCTCGAAACCTTGTCAGAATGGAGCAAATTGCACAGACAATATTAACGGATATACGTGTTCGTGTGCTACAGGATTTACCGGTAAAAATTGTGAAACCAACATTGACGATTGTGCCTCTAAACCTTGTCAGAATGGAGCAAATTGCACAGACAATATTAACGGTTATACGTGTTCGTGTGTTGAGGGATTTACCGGTAAAAACTGTGAAACCAACATGGACGATTGTGCCTCTAAAACTTGTCAGAATGGAGCAAAATGCACATACCATATTAACAGCTATACGTGTTCGTGTGTTGCGGGATTTACCGGTAAAAACTGTGAAACCAATGTGGATGATTGTGCCTCAAAACCTTGTCAGAATGGAGCAAATTGCACAGACAATATTAACGGATACACCTGCTCGTGTGTTGCGGGATTTACCGGTAAAAACTGTGAAACCAACATAGACGATTGTGCCTCTAAACCTTGTCAGAATGGAGCAAA